GATGTGAGAGCCTGGTCCGGTGATAACCCGGCGTGCTTCGTCCCGGCTTTGTAGGGATGCGAGGTCAATGGTCGAACGACTACGGTATGTACGACTATAGGAGTAACCCCCCCCCCTTGTTGCAGCGAAAGAAGAGTAGGTGCCCGTTGACACGGCGTTCAGAGAAGATAGCATCCAATGCTGTTTGAACTGTTCTGACTACCTGCCGGCCGCTCCAGCTTGAAGCGAAGCAAATCGCCATTCCCTACGTCCCTACCACCCCTCTGGCATAGCGGGTTGTTGAACTACCAGGTCTAAGAGCTCACCGACCCACCAATATGCGCCTACAGCATATTATTTTGTCTGTGATCGACCTTTCTTTTTCGTCGTACTCCGAGCTGACACGATGTTCTCCCCCAGAAGATAACAACAACATCTACCACGGCAGTTTACCAGAGGCGAAACATGTAAAGTAGGTGCGGACCAACCCGTGGCGTCCAAGAAGTCGCCCCCGTGGAACCTCTCTCTCCAAAATTGTGCGCTGACGGTAGTGACCGGTATGTATAGGGCACGAATTAGTTGTTGTGCGCTTATAACGCGCACACACGGTCACCGTGTGATGCCACGACGGACACGGGCCTCAAGGTGTTGTACAGCTGTGTGTTTACACCTTGAGGAGTATTTGTTGCGGAATAAAAACATATTCGAAGATATGTGCGAAGTAGATGGATGTTGATTGTGGTCTGTGATCGACCAAAGAATGAAGTGTCCGTTACGGGCTTGTGGAATCATGGGCCTGTGGTCTTTTCCGTTGAAAAACTGTTAACTTCAAGTATACACTATTATTGTTGATTGTTGAACGAAGATGAGTCGTTGAAAATAAGACCAATATGTGATAATCATATTGCATGGTCGTGGACGGGCCGATATCAGCTCGAGAAGAACATGAAGCATTTCATTGAGAGGGGGATTCAAAAGCAGCAGTGAAGCCCGCCGGATAAATAGACATATCGGGGGTAATAAGTCCTGTGACAAGAGTAGCTGTTGAAGGACGCGTGGCCAGAACACAAGGCCAAAGGTTGCGTGAGAACACAAGGCCAACGGTTGTTCGACAGCAGTGGTTGAGGCATTGAAGTCACGCATAGTTGTTGAAGTCTTGCATTCTTTTGTTTGTTGAACCGCATTCCGAAACGTCATTTCTTCAGCCCGCGAACCCGGGCGCGATGATCTGATTGGCCGCGCCGATTCCGTCATCACTCATCCGCTTATTCAGCCCCTAATTCCGCCGCACCTTGAAGGAGAGACAGAAACTGAGCGCAACCCGACCCAACACACTCCCACACACCTCCCCTTCCGCCTCTTCTTCTGTCCTCGCAAGCTCGTTTCCCAGGTTCCGGTACAAGTCGCACCATGGCCTGCGAAAGCAACAACGGACAGAGTGCCCACGTCACCCAGGAGGATCCGCTGGTCGTTGTCGCATCATACAACAAGTGCGTGAAGGAACACAGCAGTATGTAGGCAGCAGCTTATTGTACACAGGAGTTCTCTCATGGGTGCTGCGCGCGCGCTGAGCCGGCTTCATTTGTGTCGGGGGAGCGTGGGACGCGTGCACCAGACATATTGTGCCTCTAGACTTCGTTGTTGTTGTCTACCCAGATCTACGGCAGCAGAAGCAGTGAATGACCGGTGGTTAGAGGGGCATGGTTTGCAAGTATTCTCTGCACACTTGGTCGTCACGGGTTGGTGATTGCCCATTGGTCTCATGCTGAGTACGATGAGGTATGCATGAAACACGTCCACGCAGAAAACAACGAGGGCAGGGTGTGCCGTGTAGCTGGCACGAAGGCGCTGGTAAATGGAGGGACGGAGGAGTCTGTCTGCCCTTCGAATCTCTCCGTCTCGGTTTAAGACACCCAGAACAATCCGAGTTGAAGTTGGCCAGCGAGGGCGAGCATTGTTTTGCTGTGTAGATTCTCCCGTTGGATCCGTGTTCGGCGGCGAGAATCCTGGAGAGAGAGGTGGTTCTTAGGAGGGCACAGGAAGAACGGGGCGGGAAGATCACTCGACTCGCAACGGTGCTTGCGACGTTCCAACCTCGCAGCGTTGTTAGCAATACATAGACTGCTGCTGTAGTATCATAGCAGAAAATATGTTCCTCATAGCAAAGTCTAAGCACCTCTGCGTGCTACTACTACTGTGCATGTTCTTCAACACACAAACGGGCACTGCTTGCTGCAGCCGCGGTGCGGGCGAACTTTCGCCTGTAGAAAGTGCAGACGCCTACATGATTCGGAACACGAGCTCTGCGAATATATACGGCATGACCCTTATTAAATACCAATCAATGGTAAAGTTAGAGAGCGCGAGAGTTTGGGGATGCACCCCGACCAGGGTATCTACCATGCATGTCCTCTGCATGGAAAACCGCCCGCCCGCCCTCTAGTTTTGGCCCAGGCTCAGGGGGATCTTACCATTGTTCCATTTGTAGGGGTATGCTACGATTGGCCGCTGTGCAGGTTTTAAGTGTAAAGGTCCTTTTAACCGAGCTCACAAAAACAAAATGGTGCTCAAGGTCTTAGTCTATGTCGTATTTTATCTTTTTTCGAAATGTCTTGATAAATAGTCAAGTGCGGCGCAAATACCAACCGTTCACCCATATATCAGGGTCGGGCTGCGGAAGGAAGCGGTGTCTCTCTTGCCGCCGTGTGGGCTGTGAGTGCAAGCAGTGTGCGTGATAGGTAGAAGCTGAACAAGGTATTCCAGCTTTCTCTACAATGAACTTCCAATAAAATACAAGATGTATAAATACAAAAAAAATTATCAACCTTTTTTTTATCCTCCCTAATCGCTGACCTACCGACCAAGCTCGTTCTTACACTGTCGACACGTTCGTTCTGTCTGCTATTCCCTCTCCGCTAAACTAAATACAGGTTCGACAACCTTGCCCACGTCCCCCGAGGAACAACTGCCGGTCACACCCTCAGCTGCTTCCGACTACACCGCGAATCGGCGACGATGACTCTTCTCGCCGTCGAGGTGTGATGACATGAATTAATACTACAGATGTCGATATATGTATTGTTGCTGTTTGGTGTTGTTTACAATTGAAAATCTACTTCGAAGTTTGTTCGTTGGCCGACCGGTTAGGGCTGCTTCCGACGAGGTGTGACTATATAAGATAGATGTCGATTTGTTGCTTTATGCAGTTTTTCACCATTGACAAAACTCTACTTCGAAGTAGGTTCGTTGGCCAACAACCGGTTAGCGCTGTACATACATATGTATGTATAGAAAGAGTGGCTGTTTAGCTTATTGCAGCCACCAATTAAAAAGGACCGGGAGACGGCCTGC